TTGAATACATTCAATCTCTTAAAATTCTTCCCTTTCATAGGTGATTAAAAATATGCATCTGTTATCTCTTGCTGTGTAACAAACACTCCAAAGTAAAACAACAGTCACTGATCATGATTCTTTGGGTCAGGAATTTGGGACAGGTTTGGCTGGGAGGTTTTCATGTGGTTTCAGCTACCTGGTGGCTTAGCTAGGGCTGGATGGCTATGATGACTTCATTTCCCTTGTCTGGAATTTGATAATAGCTGTTGGGCAGGCCATGTATCTTGAGCAGTCTAGCCTACTTCTGCTCAGGATTGCGGCAGTTCAGAAAGGCACTCAACACAAACACTTTTCAAGCCTCTCTTGACATCGTGTTTACTGATGCCCCATTGGCCAGAGCAAGTCCCATGGCCACGCCTAGTTTCATTGTGGGAAGGGATGACTTATAAGGGTGAGGAAGCAGGGAGATGTGATTCTCTGGGGTTCTAACTCTGTGATAGGTGGCTACAACCTACCGTTGGCACAGTTCCTTGGTGAGCTATTACCAGCATGGATGCCCATTTCACCTAAAATTGTAGCTATCAGTTAGTGTGAGATAGAAATATGGAAAGGAACTGGGTCTGTTTTGGAAAGATGGCTACCTCCATAGGGTTAGCGCCATCATGATACTATAAACTTAGAGAAGTAGTGATGGGTTTTTGATCGTCATCAAGAAAGTTCAGATTGCTAGGGGTGGAGCTCAGTGGTAGAAGGTGCTGGGTTCAATCCCCAGCACCAAAAAATACAATTAAAAAATAATCTCCAGATTATTAGATATTTGATAATACTACGAAATTATTATTTGAAGTAGGATAACGTCATGGTGATTAGGGTTTTTAGAAATTCTTATCTTTTAGGGATATGTATTAAAATACTTATTGATGAAATAATATGCTCTTGGGTTTACCTTCAAAAAATTGGCCATGGGGTTGAGGACAAGGAACAGAGTATAAGTGAGACAAGACTGACTGTGGATTGTTCATTGTTGAACTATCATGAGTGAGGAGCACATCACAATCTGTACTCTTCTCTATACTTTGTGTGTTTTTGAGAATTTCCACAGTAAAAAAAAGTTTAAAAGACTGTGTAACAATTAAAAATGGCACTACCAAATATATCAACTAATAATCCCACTTCTGAGCATTTATCCAAAAGAACTGAAATCAAGATCATGGAGAGATTTTGATATTGCTAGGATAATTGTAGCATTATTCACAATAGTCCAAGTGTAAAAACAAACCTAAATGTCTATGAATGGATGAATGGAACAGGAAAATGTAGGAATATACACCAACGATAGAATATTACTCAGCCTTCAAAAAGGAAATCTTGCCATTTATCACAACACAGATGAACCTGGAGAACATTATACTCAGTGAACTAGGCCAATCAAAGGAGGATAAAACCCGTGATTCCACTTATATGCGGCAGTTAAACAAGCCAAACTCAGAGAAGCAGAGAGAAAAATGATGGTTTGCAGGTGGTGGGGGGTGGTGGGAGACTGGTGAAGTTGCTAAGGCAGCAGTATAAAGTTTTTATAAGGCAGATGAATGCTCGCAGGTGCTTTCTCACTTAACTGGGGGTGCAAACAACCAGGGCTGGGTTCTGCATCCTGCTCCCTCTACCTGAGGCTTAGTTCACAAGCAGCATCCTACACTTAGCTGAAGGAGTTGGAAGGTATTTGATAAGAAGTCCAGAAAATGAGTCACTCTATCATTTAGGAGTGAGCAGAGTTCTTTCCATGCAGGCTCACTCTCAATCTGTGTTCCCTGGAGCACACTCATGGTGTTCTTATAGTTCTGGGTCTGACACCTACCACAGATTCTGAACAAGCCCTGTGCTAGTAGCTCTCTCCAGGGGTTTTCTGGCTTAGTGTTCTTGACTCTAAGCTGTGGTACTCCCTAGTATCTGAAGAATTTGGAAATGCCACTTCAGCCCTGTTGTGTGGACATGAAATCTCTCCTGTCACTCTAGAACGCTTCTTAAAAAGACGACACTATAAGTGAGCACAAGCCCCCAATTTCATGGTACATTGGCCCTGGCTGCCAAGCTCAAGTCCATTGGGTCTCCTGGGAGTCTACCTCCTCCCTGCACTCTTTTAAGGGTGTTTTGTCAAGCATCTGAACTTGAAAAAACAAGTCCACTTTAGGATATTGCCTTGACAATTTTCACAGATTTTTCTTTTTCACTTTTAACTTTTGTGTCATCTCCCTTTACCTGACACAGGACAATGAAAGTGAATTTCACTTCATGCACACTCCGTGTGCCTCTCTGCAAGGAACTGTGAGCAGAATGTTATTTGTTCCTTGAATCTCTGAGGTTAAGACAAAGAATTAGAAATATCTGAACTCAACTTTAGACATTAACCTTATCTTTCCAAATATGTGCTTAATAAGAAGCAGAATCAACACTGTAGGTCAGAGTAAGTTCAAATGGCCTAGAAATTTTTATATCATAAAGAACAGAAAAGTTGACTACAAGTATTCAAAAATGCTGCTGTTGGTTAGATGTGTGATTATCCTCAAATGTTCCCCACACTATGTCACTTGACATTTTACAGTTGAGATGACAATGTGAATAACCAAATGTATAATTTCAATTTTAGTTCTTACAGTAGAGAAAGGGTCTCCTAAGAATTTGCAATAAGGTTTTATAAAGATAGAACTTTAGATGAACTGTTAACCAATTCTTGCCTCAAGCCTTCTAAAATTATAGCTGACTGGTAAATTCTAGTGGAATAAAATAGTCAAAGATCATTAAATTTCTTTTTATATCTGACAGCCCTTTAGAGCACGTGTCTGTCATGTCTATAGAAGAGGTCACATTAAGTCCATCTTATCTGAAGGTGGAGGGTAGGGGAGATGGAGGTGGACTTCCTGGTTAAAGGCTGTGTGTCTCAGGTGTGACAGGGCCCTGTGAACTGCAGTGGTTGTGGCCTGGCCTCAACCACCTTCACCTTGTCAGAGGAACACAGGTGTGAAAACTTTAGACAAAGGTGATTGATTTTGCAGTGGTCAGGTTTTCTGTTGAGAGGCGATGCTTAACTATCTAGTCGTCATGTTGTTTCCCCATTCTTTCACATGGGGAGGATTGCTCACAGTAGGATTGGGCTGGGGGCACCCAGAAGGCCAGAGAACTTACATGTTTGGAGCCATGGAGGCATGTGATTCCACAGTTGCTAACACAGACTGCTGAACTTGGTTGATCCCAGTCCATCTGGACTGAAGGTGGCCTAACTTGCCCTTTCTGTGTCCTATAGGAACTTATGGGCATCCTGGCCACATCACCTTAGCTTAGGTTTGGGTAGGAGGGACAGTCATTTCTTGAGTACCAGCCACAGAGAGGCTCTGCCCTTGATGCTTCTCATGTTATCCTCGTCACAAACCTGCAATCCCAGGTCTGTACTTCTCCCTAGGTAAGCCAGAGAGAGGGCACATTATTTGCTCCAGATCATACCTGCTTTGTTAGTGGCATGCATACAAAAGTCTGGTCAACACCAAAACTAGTATTCTTCTTACTGCCCCAATTTAGAGAATGTATGTGGCCCGAGACTGAGGTAGGGGGCTGGGTACCAGGATGAGCTGGGGGAAAGGACCAGGCATGTGTTCTAACTGAAGGTGAGAAGCCCTGGAGTAGGATCCACAATGGAGAGAGATCAATAACAGGACAAGCAAGACCTCTGCAGATGGCACCAACTAAATGCAGGACTGAAAACGGCAAGGGGAGAAAGGTATGGTGTCTTTTGGCTCAGGTTCCCCAGGAAAGCCAAAGTGGCAAAGTCTGTGTCAATTATTCTCTGTGTAGATTTGCATCACTTTTAAGAGGACCTTTTTTGGAAGGAAAAAAAACCCCTCTATTCTAGAGGTCAAGTCTATTTCTCTTGTATGGTTCTGCTGCTGCATGCACAGACTGTGAAGCAGAGCTATAGGTTCCACTGCCAACCCTATAAGACCAGGGACTGAGGACAGCCTGACAGTGCAGCAGCTGTCAGCCAGCTTTCAGCAGTGTGTACTGCTGAGCCAGATCTGTCTGCAAGATTGGCAGGGGAGACGGGGTCCTGCTGTCCTGGATTTTGTGGCCTTCACCTGTTCTGTGCTCCTCTGAGTACTGTCATTGGCAAAAGCAGCTCAGGAATGATTGGGCATGACCTCCACAAGGCCTCTGGTGGGTCTCTGCCTCCTGGAATTGAGAACAGTCATAGGAGAGCAGGGGAACATGAACACCAAGGAAATGGAGATGCTGGAGCCAAGGGTAAATTGGTGTTATGGTTTGGATATGAGGTGTTTCCCTAAAAGGTCAATGTATTGAAGGCTTGGCACCCCAGATGGGGAATTCAATCATTGAGAGGCAACTGGATCATGAGGGGTCTGACCCCCAAGTGCATTAATCCACACAGATGGATTTATAATTTGAAGGCATTCTTGGAAGATGGTGGAAAGCAGGAGGTGGGACCTGGCTGGGAGAAATAGGTCACCGGAGGCATGCCCATCTCTCTCTGTTGCTCTCTCTCTCTCTGCTTCCTGGCTGTTATGAGGTAAGAGCTTCTCTCTGCCATGCCCTTTCGCCATGTTGCTTCTGCCCTGCTGCAGGCCTAAAAGCAAGAGAGCCAGCTGACCATGGCCTGAAACCATGAGCCAAAATAAATCTTTCCTCCTTTAACTTGACCCTCTCAGGTATTTGGTCACAGTGATGAAAAGTGAACAGAATTAGATTTCAGATAATTAAAATGTTTCTCAGTTTTCTCATGATATTAATTGTCCTTTTTGTGTCCATGTGGTTGGAAGAATGCACAGTGGCAAGACCTTGTGGTTGAAGACTCTGCTTGGCTTCTGGACGTGTGTGGTTGGGATGAACTTGCTAGAGCAGAGGTTCTTAGTGTGGCAAAAGACCACAATTAAATCCACATTACGGCCTGACATGCAAAGCCTAAGAAAGGCTGTCAAGTCTGACCTTGCCCTGGGTGTGCTCTACTTTTTCAGATGGTGCTTAGGCATGAGGATGGTGATGAGACCGCAGAGCCACCCCCCAGCGGGCTCCGGGACCGGAGGAGGGCCAGCATGTGTTCTGGTGGCAGCGGGGGTGAGCCTCAAGGCCTTGACCGCAGAAGGAGCCGTCGACACTCAATACAGAACATCAAGAGTCCACTGTCAGCTCCCACCAGTCCCTGCTCCCAGTCGGTTCCCACCTTCAAGCCCAGCCAAGTGCGAGATCTCTGTGAAAAGTAAGCCTAATCCAGCTGTGGGGAGAGGTGTCAGGGTACCAGTGAAAAGAGGGAGAAAGGCCACAAAATGCAGGTGTCCAGAGCTACTCCCTCTCCATTGATAGTTAGCATCCTCTGGTCTTGCCTCCTGCCTCTTCTCTACCATTAAACCACCACTGCCAGGGAATATTCCAGGTAAGGTAGCCCTTGGTGGCATGCATAGACTTATCTTCCTAACTTCATGAACTCATTTTCCACCACCTGTGTTTTTATATTATTTAATTTTTCAGTAATGTTAAGGCAGGAGAGCTGTTTTATAAATTGGAAGAAGAATCCAAAACACAAAACTAGGGCCTAGAGAAGCACAGTAGGTTACCATAGAAATCGAAGTCTGTAAGACTATTGAGACACTTGTGGCAATACACAAAATTGGTTTTAGTTACATAGAATAAACCTGTGTAGTTTAAAAAGCTCTGTCCCTTTATATCTAAGCAAATGCTAATCCCATCACTTAGTCACTGAGTGGCCATTGTAGGTCAGAACTGTTCAAAAGCTTGAAGACATGGAGGTGGGAAAGGCATGATATTTGTCTTTATGAACCTCATATCTATGTTGCTAGAAAGAGAATGAGAACGGTAAATGGAAAAAACAATAGTGAGGTTAAGCAGTCCTGAGGGAAATACTGATTTAAATAGGAAGTTTGACGAATCTATGGAAGCTTGAGTGGTTCTGAAAAACAGGTGCAGTAAAAGGATAGCCAACCTGCTTTGGGGTCTGGATCCAGTTGTCTGCTTCCGAGTGGATGCTGCAAGTTCACTGGGGTGATGGGCTTTGAGGACCAGGCCATACCTCTCTAGTCCACTGGAGGACTGACCCATTCACTTCCTGCTGTGGCAGGACACAAGTAGTGATCATGTCATTTGGCTGGAGTGTTCCCCTCCTAAATAGAGATATTTTTGGGAGCCAAATTTAGGTTACCTGACGAGTGGTGAAGAAGAAAATAACTCGGCATTAGTTGGATGACCGTAAGAAACTCAGCTATCAAGATGTGTGTCTCTTCTCCATTGCTGAGGGAATCATTCCTTCTATCCAAATCTCCATTACCAAGAGGTGACCTAAGCAGCCAATAGTCATGGTGTCACACACCAGGCTATGCCTTTTGGGTACCTGTTAACCAGGAAGGAGAAGGAGAGCATGGCCAGAGAGGTATGTGACATGCCTGGTACCTGTTGACATGCCCTCTCTAACCCATAGCCCCAGGGACTCCCCATCTACAAATATTTGTCTCTGAGAACATCTACTGTGATCATTTTGTGATCCAAGATCTTGAAGAAACTCAGCCAGTGCTCAAACCAAAAGCACCTGAAGCCCTCCCCTAGCAGTGCTCCAAGCTAAGGGCTCAAGAAATGAACATGGAGAGAGTTGAGGACAGTGTATACAATTATGGAAAACTCTGTGTTTAAAAGCTATCAAAGATGCTGAGGGCAGGGGTGAGATGGGTCTTGTCAACATTATTTGTTTTCTTGCTGTCTGACTAGTGTCATATTTGTTTCTGGTCTGTTTCTTGCTGTTACACTTTTCAATGGTTGTGAGTTCAGGTGACAATGCCTTGTGATAAGTTGACAAGGAAGACAGCAGTGATGAAGACCATCCTCCACTTGACAGTCTCAAAGTTCTGGAGCCTGTGGGAATTGAAGTAAGGTTCCAGAGACACTGCTCTGAATGCTGCTGCTTTCATTCTTTTCAAATAGGATGAATGTTTCATTTTGCTGAAATTATTGCTTTTGTATAAATTTAGTAGGATTCATTGGAGAAAAAATACTTTCCGGCTTATAAAGATAGGAAATACTGTACATAAACTGATGATTGTGGAGTGAATGAGTCTCCACAGAGCCTGTTGGACAGACTTTGCCTATGGTCCCAAAGTGACAGTGCAATTTTGGCCAGGGTGAGAGTAGGATGGAGGGAAAGGATGACAAGAAGCAAAATGGGAAATGGTCCCTGCCTGCAGAGCTAGCTTAGTCACCTATTCAACATCTGTACCTAAAAACAGTACCTTAGAATCAAATAGCCCATTGTGTGTCATCCCCTGCAGACCAGGAAAGACACAGCATGTCTGACCTCTGTTGCTCTTGTTGTAAGAACGTCCTGGCTTTGCTTTCTGCTCCCTTGTAGCAACAGGCCTGCAGATACCACTTGCAAGGAAGTTGAGGCTGGATTTTATCTTTCTTTGACTTGTAATGCCAATACTTTTGAAAAGAAGTGAGATAAATGTGAACAGTTAGAAAGGAAACCATGTTGTTTTAAAACGTGTATGGCCCTCTCCACTCACATGGTCCTTTTAAATCATTTGAATTTCATCCTCACAATGAGCCTCTGTAGGATCCAAGCAGGACATTATCCACCTTGCTGTACACGTGGGGTAGGTGTCTAGCACTGAAAGACAGGACTGGGGGTGGCTGAGCTGTGGATAAGCCTGTCTTGGCCCTTGTCTCTCAATGTTCAAAGTCCAGAAAAATACTTCCCAACCAGCACTCCTAAGCCTATTCATTGAATGTCATTCACACTTCTGACTCCAGAATTTGATTTATATGCATGCAGTTATATTTTTATTCAGGTACATGTAACAAAGAGAATTGAAAAAAAGAACACCTCCAAGTCTCCCTACACACATAAGCCTGCTAGGTTATGTACTATTGTTCTAGAAATGACTAATAAGACTCTGAACTCACATTTGTGTGCTTTGGTTTCTTAGGAAATAGAATTCCACACTAGGCATTGGCCAACTAGGTAAGAATTTATTGGCTACCTGTCACCCAAAACATCTGTGTGCCATAATAAGTTTCATCTTTGCCTCCAAAATTCGCATATTTGATTGGAAGAAAGAAAAAAATGTGCCCTTTTATTTATTACTGAGAAGATTACTGCAGAGCATCTAATTAGCAAAAAAAAAAAGTGTCTGGTTTAAACTGTAATCATATATATTTGATTTTAGAACTAAAAAGTTTTAAAAGTTTATCTTACCCAAAGCAGGAGTCAAGAGGTGGGCTGTACTGCCAGTTTCAGACTCTCTCTTTCCAGAGTGTCCATACACTTTCCTGATCTAAATGTCCCTATCCCAACTGTTTTCTTTTTTAATCCCAGCTCTTCCCCTGTCAACACACAACAGGTCTCCTTCCATTCTGTCCTACAGTCTTTCTAATACAGAACACTGCACAGGACCTAGTTCATGAACTTTAAATTTCATCCTGTTGGGTTCCACATTACATTCCAACTTGTAGAGGTCATTTTGAACTTCATTCAGCCGCTGATGTTATCCATTGTGTCATCCAGTTTTCAGTCATGTGTATATTTTAATGTACATGGAAGAGTGACCTGGCAAGCTTTGGATGATGACAACTGGTTGGGAAGAGGACTGTACAGACTAGTGCCACGTGCTTCAAGGCAGGGGTCAGCAGGCTTTCTCCACCTGTGGCACAAAGTAAATACGTTAAGCTCCGTGGGTCAGTCTCTGTTGTAACTACTCAATTGAATTGTGCCTCGTGGTACAGAAGTAGCCATCAATGACAGGGCCTGAAAGAACATAGCTCTATCCTAGTGACATCTTATTTATGTACACTGAGATTTAAATTTTATCTGTGATGAAGCATTTTCTTGGATTTTTTGAACCATTTAAAATGTAAAAACCATTCTTACTCACAGTCTATTGAAAACATGTTGCAAGTTGCAGTTCTCTAACTCCTACTCTAGGGGACTCTAGGTCTCTGAGGGAGGTTGAGACAAAGGGGACTGGAATTGACAAAGAGGAGTATGTGGTACTTTGTGTAATTGGCAAAGAGAAAACCCACGGTGCCAGATGAGAGGGCTGTAAGGAATAGTGTTGGCTGGGGTTAGAGCAAGGAATACAAAGGAGTATTCTGTAAAGAGAGTGAAACTATAGGGGATCTTGCTGATGGCTGATCAGGAGTTGCCAGGGTACAGTGGAAGACCAAGGAAGTTGGAGAAGGGAATGAAACAAGATGGTTTGGGGGACACACAGAGCCAGATGGGGAGAAAGTGGTTGGTGAGGAGCCCATAGACAGTTGGGTTATTGGAGAGGTTAAAACAAGCTGAGATTAGCCCAGTGGTCCTTTAAGGAAATAATTCTCAACCAAGGTTGATTTTTTTCCACCCAGGGGACACCTGGACACACTTTTGGTGCATTAACTGGAGCATGGGGCCAGGGATACTGGCATCTAGTAGATAGAGTTGAGGGATGCTGTTCTATAATGTCCAGGGTGCCCCTTGCCAAATAATTATCTGATCTAAAATGTCAGTAGTGCTGAATCTGAGAAACCCTGCCTTAGTGGGTGGCAGATAATTGGTTGTAATTTTCTCCTCTTCCTTGGAATGATGTCGTGATAGGAAATGTCTTGGCTATTAGATGGGTAGCTTTCTTAGAGGCTGGAACTCTGTGGACCTACCTTAAATGTTCATGTGTGTGTTCAAATTTGACTTTTATAAGCAAATATAATAAATGAGTTAAAATGCAGGTCTCTAGGAGTATTTCTAGTTTAAAAATACTTCATTGATATTTTATAAACAAATGTCTTGGAGACAGTATTTCTTAGCAAGAAAGGAGATGTGGAATGGCCTACAAAATGTACAAAAGAATCCTTTTTCTGGTTTTTTGCTTTAATGAGAATTTGAGAGTTTTACTCGCAAATTCTCAGGAAATATGTGGAACCTCTTCTTAGGGAACTGAAGGCTTGACCAAATCTCACACTGCTCTCAGTATCCAACCATCAAAGTTCTAATTGGCTTCCCATCGATCTCATTCCGAAAAAAAAGATAGGATGGACTATGACCCTAGCATAAAACAAGTTGCCCTACAGGACCATGATTACAAAAGAGAGGTGCAGTATTCCATAGCTAGGTGTCCCAAACGTGTTGGAGGAACAGAACACAGGCTAACTAACCAGAGAGGTTTGAGTGGGATTGGAGAATCAACACTGAGGGGCAATGAGGACAGCTCTCCTCTT